TCAACTACTTCACTGGGCAAGGAATTCCATAGATTAACAACCCTCTGGGTGAAGAAATTCCTTCTCAATTCAGTCCTAAATCTGCTCCCTCTAATCTTGAGGCTATGCCCTCTTGTCCTAGCTTCACCTGCCAGTGGAAGCATCCTCTCTACTTCTATCTTATCTATTCCCTTCATAATTTTATATGATTCTATAAGATCCCCCATCAATCTTCTGAATTCCAATGAATATAATCCCAATCTACTCAGTCTCTCCTCATAAGCCAACCCCCTCAACTCCGGAATCAACCTAGTGAACCTCCTTTGCACCCCCTCCAGTGCCAATACATCCTTTCTCAAGTAAGGAGACCAAAACTGCACACAGTACTCCAGGTGTGGCCTCACCAGCACCTTGTACAGCTGCAACATAACCTCTCTGCTTTTAATTTCAATCCCTTTAGCAATGAAGGACAAAATTCCATTTGCCTTCCTAATTACTTGTTGTACCTGCAGACCTACCTTCTGTGATTCATGCACAAGGACACCCAGGTCCCTCTGCATAGCAGCATGCTGCAACTTTTTACCATTTAAGTAATAATCCTTTTTACTATTACTCCTACCAAAATGTATGACTTCACATTTATTTACATTGTATTCCATCTGCCAGACCTTTGCCCACTCACTCAATGTATCTATGTTCCTCTGCAAAGTTTCACAGTCCTCTGCACACTTTGCTCTGCCACTCATCTTAGTGTCATCTGCAAACTTTGACACCATACACGTGGTCCCCAACTCCAATCATCTATATAAATTGTAAATAATTGCGGTCCCAACACCGATCCCTGAGGCACACCACTAGTCATTGACTGCCAGCTAGATTAGCACTCATTTATCCCCACTCTTTGCTTCTTGTTAGTCAACGAATCCTCTATCCATGCTAATACTTTACGCCATGCATCCTTATCTTATGCAGTAGCCTATTGTGCGGCACCTTGTCGAAGGCCTTTTGGAAATCTAGGTACACCACATCCACTGAGTCCCCATTGTCCACCTTGCTCGTAATGTCTTCATAGAATTCCAAAAGGTTTGTCAAGCATGACCTGCCCTTCATGATCCCATGCTGCGTCTGCCCAACGGGACAATTTCTATCAAGATGCCTTGCTATTTCTTCCTTGATAATAGACTCAAGCGTCTTCCCCACTACAGAGGTTAAGCTAACCAGTCTATAATTCCCCATCTTTTGTCTACTTCCTTTTTTAAACAGTGGCGTCACATTTGCTGTTTTCCAATCTGCTGGGACTGCCCCAGAGTCCAGCGAATTTTGGAAAATTACCGCCAGTGCACCTGCTATGTCTCCCTCCATCTCTTTTAGTACCCTGGGATGCATTCCATCAGGGCCAGGAGACTTATCAATCCTTAGCTCCATTAGCTTGCCCAACACTACCTCTTCCGTAATAATGATTGTTTCCAGGTCCTCACCTACCTTCGTCTCTTTATCAATTACTGGCATGTTATTAGTGTCCTCCACTGTGAAGACCGATACAAAATACCTGTTCAATGCCTCGGCCATTTCATCATATCCCATAACTAAATTCCCCTTCTCATCCTCTAAAGGACCAACGTTTACTTTAGCCACTCTTTTTCATTTTATATATTTATAGAAACTTTTGCTATCCGTTCTTTCCTCTCCACCCTATCTATAGCCCCTCATCATTTTATACATCTCAATCATGTCCCCTCTGCCCAAAACTCCTCTGCTCTATGGAAGACAACGCCAGTCATATTACCACAAAGTTTAAGAAGCTTTTAGACAGACACATCAATAGGCCAGCAATAGCTGGATACAGATGGTGTGCAGGAAGATGGGATGAGTGTAGAATGGCATCATGGTCAGCAGAGATATGGTGGGCTGATGAGCCTGTTCCTCTGTTGTACTTTCCTATTGTTTCAAGGAGAGCAGGCCTGTAGTTGTGAATAAGATGGCTTCCTATGATTGAAATGTTTATTTGAAGGAGTAAATCCATTTTTTTTTGACTTTGATGAATGTCTTGAAACAGAGGATCAATCAATGGACTTGACATCATGTTGCCCTTAAATAAATAATTCACTGGAGGATAATTGTTTACGTTGTATCTGCTCCTTACATTCAGATCCACTTGCAGTGCGATTGAGGAATGGAGATAGCCACTGTTCAGGGAGAGTTGAGATGAATTACAACAACACCTGGGGAGCCATCTGTGATGATAGTTGGGACATCCTTGATGCGAATGTCGTTTGTAAGCAAACTGGATGTGGACCTGCCCGATCGGCTCCAGGCAAAGCTCACTTTGGGCCAGCACAGGCTTCCTTCTGGTTGGATGATGTTGGTTGTAAAGGCACTGAGTGGAATTTGTACCAGTGCCAGTCGAACTCATTGGGCAAGCACAACTGCCAACCTAACGAGGCAGCGTCTGTTACTTGTTCAGGTAAAGTTTCTTTTCCATTTCCTTACTTGTGAATTTCGTAAGGCGTCTCATTGAGGTGATGTGACAGATTGTCATTAAGAACAATGGCATGTTAACCGTTTTTGCTGCAATGTGTTTTAAGGAACACAAAGTCATTTTACCGAATCCTTCTCAGAGACTGAAGCAGTCCATGTCCACATATAGCAAGTTCTGGATAATATTCAATTGTTTTCAAACATCGCATTTCCCATAATCTGAATTGGATATCGAAATTCCAAAAGTTGCTGACAATCTCAGAGTCTGACGATTAGTAGCCAGTGAGGATAATGTCAAGTAAGTGCATCAGGATATATATTGGCTAGCAGAATGGATACTCAAATAGGGAAAAAAACATACATATCAAAGAAGTGTGCTATTTTGGCAACTGGATCAGTGAAACAAAGTCCAGATGAAGCAGGAAGTTAATGCAAAGAGCATTGTTAAAGAGACACCGAGGTGCTGAGGTATTTGAAGATTCAAAGACAGAATAAAGGAAAGAACTGCAGGGCACTGGAGGTCTGAAACAAAAACTGAAAGTACTGGAGAAACGTAGGAAGACTGGTAGCATCTGTGGAGCGAGAGAGACAGAAACAGAGTTAACATTACACGTTATAAATGCAGAAAATGCTGGAGATACTGTTAAGTGGTAATGGGGAATGTTTCCGTACCCAAGTAAGATGTGAATTGTGAACAGGGCGATCAGAATAAAACGCATAGCCTATTTTCTTGTAAACTCATATAGAACATAGAACATAGAACAATACAGTGCAGTACAGGCCCTTCGGTCCTCGATGTTGCGTCGACCTGTGAAACCAATCTGAAGCCCATCTAACCTAAACTATTCCATTATCATCCATATGTTTATCCAATGGCCATTTAAATGCCCTTAAAGTTGGCGAGTCTACTACTTTTGCAGGCAGGGCTTTCCACGCCCTTACTACTCTCTGAGTAAAGAACCTACCTCTGACATCTGTCCTATATCCATCACCCCTCAATTTAAAGCTATGTCCCCTCGTGCTAGCCACCACCATCCGAGGAAAAAGGCTCCCACTGTCCACCCTATCTAATCCTCTGATCATCTTGTATGTCTCTATTAAGTCACCTCTTAACCTTCTTCTGTCTAACAAAAACAGCATCAAGTCCCTCAGCCTTTCCTCATAAGACCTTCCCTCCATACCAGGCAACATCCTGGCAAATCTCCTCTGCACCCTTTCCAATGCTTCCACATCCTTCCTATAATGCGGTGACCAGAACTGTACGCAATACTCCAAGTGCGGCCGCACCAGAGTTTTGTACAGCTGCAACATGACCTCATGGCTCCGAAACTCATTGCATGGATGGCTGGTGAGTGATGCCAACTGTCTGGGTTCTATTCCTGCTGTGGCTGAGGTTACTATAAGGACTCTCCTTCTCAACACCTCCCCTTGCCTGAGGTGTGGTGACCCTCAAGTTAAACCAGCACCAATTATTTCTCTCTAAGGAGACAGCAGCACTCTGTTTTGAAAAGACTTTGTTGACTTTATTTTTTACTGGTGTTATAATCCTGCAGTTTTCCTACCTGCATTGTGGCATGTTTAGTTTGATGCGGCTGGGATCTTGTATATAAGATGAAATGCTGTTCAGTG